GCTGTCCTTCCTGCTGAACGACAGCGAGTCCGAGTGCCGCAAGAACCTGTTCCTGACCTTCAAGCGCGTGGCCCAGGTGCCCTCGGGTAAGCGCCCGCCCTCGCTCCTGGGTTCCCGTGGTCGCTGGCTACCCCCGCGGGCGCCACTCCAGGACGGCTGTGTGCGGCTCCTCGCTGTCCATTGCACCCGAATGTAGTCAGTTTCGTCAGTCTTCTTTGGGGTTTCCTGGGGGTTCTACTTAAGGTACTCAAGCGCTTGAGACCGCATTCCGCCTCATTTTCCTCTGACAGTGTGAGACTTTGCTCCTCACATTTGGCTCCTGAAGTCACCGAGCAGGGGTGTCGTGTTTGTCTTGAGGCTTCCAGGTCATCGTCCACACTGTCCTGACCGGAAAGGCCCTGGGGCCGTCTGGGTTCCCGCGGACGCCCCGTCTCCCCGCTGAGCTTTCTGCAGCCACAGACACGGGGTGTGTGGTGAGGGCTGTTCTGACCAGTCTCACCCCGTTGTGGGCCTCTGCCCCGGGGTTACAGGGTTACACGCTGAGGCTGGCTGGGGGCCTCAGTGCGCAAAGGGTCAATGAGACCCAGCTGCTGGCACGAGCGGACAGGCTGATCCTGGGTCACTACAGGGGAGGGAGACGAGTGACCCAGGGAAAGAGAGAGAAGCTGGTGGCCGCCACCGACCAGTCCTGCTGACCTGGAGCCCCAATAGTTCCCCGCGAGCCTGCGAAAAGCCACAAGCCAAGAGCTTAGCCACAGCCACAAGGCCAAGGGCCCCCAAAGCCCACGTGGCCAAGGGCCCCCAAAGCCCACATGTCCGGTTTTATACCCAGCATGGCTGCGGAGCCCCGCCCTCGGGTCCCAGCACCCCCTTGTGGTCTGGGGTCTGCGGTCCGGTGGCGGGTGGGCCGGAGGGCCCCGAGTCTGCAGCCTTTGCCGGACGCCCCCTCCCCCGACGGTAGCACCTCCTGTGCGCTGCTGAGGTGCGCAGAGGGGAGCGGGGCCTGCGAGGGATTTGTAGCGGGCGCAGCGGGGCGTGTCGGGTGGGGCGTGGGCTGAGCGGCTGCGAGGCTCTCGGGGCCGCAGGCTCCGTGGCCGGGCGAGGGCGTCTTGCCGGGCTCCGGGTGGGGCGAGGGCATCTGGCCGGTGACTTGCGCCGGCGAACTTGGCTTCAGCGCGCAGGGCAGCGGCACCCGGGCAGGCGGGGCGGCCAGGCTTCCCTGGCCCCGGTGGTGTCCGCCGTGGGATCCCGGGAGGCGTCCTCTGTGCCGGCGAGGCCTGCGGCGGTGGCCAACAGCTACTGCCTGCTTGGCGGGTTTGAGGGGAAGATTGATTTATTTGTGCACACAGAACTGGGGCGTCGGCCAGAGGGGCAGGGGCTGAGAGAGGGACCAGGGACAGAGTGGGGAGCAGAACAGGCCGATCACTGACACACACTGCTGGGGGCCCCGCGGGAGACAGGCGTGCCTGTGTGCCCCGGGGCGGCCGCTCCCTGGCAGCTCCCAGGTGCCCCGCTGTGCCCCGCTGTGCCCCGCTGTGCCGCCAGGGAGGCCGGCGAGCAGGTTTTAAAGCACAGTTGGCGCTTCCTGTCTCCTTGCTGAAACCCACTTGTCCCTCACTCCTTCCTTCCTCCGTAGTATCTGGGGTATCTGGGGTGTCTGAGGGTATCTGGCTCCGCCCAGAGCCCAGGCTGGTCTGGCTTGCTGCGTTACCCAGAACCGCCAGCAGGCGGAGCCAGGAGCCGCGGCGGCCTGGCACTGGCGGCCCTGGGGGCGGGCGGGGAGGGGGAAACCAGGGAGAAGCTGCCCCCAGGCCCTGTCAGCAGCCCCAGCGCCGCCCGCATTCTGGGGCCTCTGCCCCTCTGTCTCTGCCCACCTGGGTGGGAGCGGGTCTCATTTTGTGCCAGGAGCCTGCTCAGGGCCAACATTAAGGGTTCTCCTGCCACTGGGTTTTGAGGTGCAAAAGGTGAGCTCCAGGCGCTCCTGGGAGTGTCCCCTACCAGCCCACTGCCCTGGCCCAGACCCCTCTGGGGGCTCTCCTGAGTGGGGGCACCCGAGTCGGGCGCAGCCCGCCCCCACCCTGGCCCCCGTCCCGGGCTCTGCCTGCTGCTGGCCCACCTGAGCGCCCGCAGCGGGGCGGGCGGGCGGCGATCTCAGGCCTCTCCAGTGCAGACCGGCCTTGGCCTCAGGAAGGGGGCCGGGCCGGCAGGGGC